AAAAACAAGTAAGGCAGTGTGAGTGTCACTGTGCAACACAAAGAAGGTAAGGTATTCAAAGGGCTAATTTAATGGTGGCAATGAAATTTTTAATTTAATTTGAGGTGTTTTATATTCTATGAAATAGAAGATCATATAAATATAATTTGAGTAGTAATACCATCCTTCTTGAAGTTACACAAACTACAATGTTTTTAAAGTTTTAAATATGGTAATGACACAATTGAAGATTTCTTAATAGAAAAAATCCATTGCAATGAAATATACCCCAAGAAAAATGAAATATTAATGTCTAGACATTTGTAAGTGTAATAATGTCTCACTACCTCTATGTGATTAAGGTTTTGCTATTTGATGCATCAGCACCCTTCAAAACCAACATATAATTCACAGAAACAAGTTTTTCTTTGGCAAAATTGCATGCCACCTTTAAGTTTCCTATTGAGGATGTGGGTATTTGATCTTGGTTTCTCACTTTAAGCTAAAATTTGGAACCTTCAGTTGCCTTTCCAATCCCATGTTCTAGGAGGAAGGTGGTCTTAAGGACTTGAAGTAGAGGTGCTTCCTATATTCTAGTGTTTGGAATATAAAGGTTTTTCAAAAATGCTATTTTCTCCTTTTTCATAAACACTAGTTTCAATGAACTTGTCTCCTTAGTTGTAGTAAAAATTTTTAACAGCTGAGAGACTTCTCTGTTAACTATTAAAGATCTCTATTTGATTCACATAATCTTCAATTGAATTCAAATTTTAACTTGACAAATTTAGTCTGGAGTCTAGTCTTATTAAATCTATAGACATCCAATAAGAGAGTATGAAAGTAGTGTGAAAGGAGAGAGAGAGAGAGAGAGAGAGAGAGAGAGAGAGAGAGAGTTAAAGCGATACAATATTTGTCAAAGTCTAAGTCAGTAGAAAACTTTTTCTTCTAAAATTTACTTGTTTTTGTTTTACATGAATGAGTATTTTAAATCTCTCTGTGTGTGTGTGTTTAATGTGTATGCAACACTGTGCATGCCTGATGCCTGCAGAGGACAAAGAGGTTGTTGGACCCCTTGGAACTAGAGTTACAGAAGATTGCGAGCCTCCCTCTGTGTTCTCTGCATAAGCAACCTGTGTTCCTAATCACTGAGTCATTGCCCAAGTCCCAAAATGTTGAAATTTTATTAGTGAAAATATTTATCCCTTGAATCCTAAAACCTCTTGTGATACACTGTGCTTTGTGGGTTACTTGACAAAGCAAAGTACATTTTTCATTAATTCATTTAACTGCAATAAAATTTTTGTAGTGATAGATAATTCCCTTGTAGGTGTTACACAGGTTAAAATAGTTTTAAAAGTTTATTATAAACTTTAAGGTCCAAAACACTTCACAAATTCCAATATATTCTGTTTTAATTGACAGTATATAAGATGGGACCCTGCAGATAATGGCGCTTTCTGAATATCCTGTGTGCATGCTCCAGTGCACCAGGCGCTAAAATAACTGAATGGCATTGTGTGTGTTCATAACACATTCTAGTCATTTACAAAGGGAAAAGATAACTGCCAGGGAAGCTTCCTTTGTTTAGCCAAGATAGACATGGACAGTCAGTTGCTATAATTTATAAAAGGAAGCAAGGTGGTGTGTGTGTGTGTGTGTGTGTGTGTGTGTGTGTGTGTGTGTGTGTGTGTGTGTGGTGTGGGGAGGGCTGAAAGAGAATCTTCTGACTCGTCAACTTTTGATAACCCATGCCCAGCTCCCAGTGTTATCCCCTGCATCTTCACTGACAAGGTTCTAAGAACCCACAGATACTTCAGGGGGTTTTATAGAATCAAGTCAAGTGCTTCTATGAGAGGCCTCATAGGCAGAATCAGGTGTAGCCCTGCCCCTTAGCTTCATCAGTAGCTATTCTGATTCGTCATTGCTCACTCAACATCAAATGCTCAAGTTTGACTCTCATGTTTAATGTCAACATTGCCTATTTCTATATTATAAAACTAATTTTTCTTACAGCAATTGCTCTCCAACTTTTCCTTTTAATAGCAGCCACAAACATTGAAACTTAGCTTGTTTTAGTTGTCAGTAAGGGAAATATAGATTTTTAACATTCTATTTATATTACATTTGATGTACTTTGTTATGTTATTGGAAGTATGTGATTGAAGCACTTCTGCATAGCTATGCCTATGTTTTCTTTCTTCTGACTGAGGGTAATTGAATGTAAAATAATTGTTTTTCTTAATTTTAATGAAGATGATGTCATCAATGTCATTAGGATTTTCAGTGAGGGTATTGTGAATAAAAACTCTCAGGATCGCTTCTGTTATGCTCTGAGCTAATCAGATGGGACATCTGCCTTCCCTTAAGGAATTCATATAATGTGATTAAATAGAAAACCATATGCCTGAGAGAAAACCTGCTGGCCTACTAACCTACATTTGAATGTCACACTTATTGATAAGCTTAAAAATGTCTGGGTAGCCAAAAACATTCAGCATTTTCCCATCAGTGTTCTACAAGTCAGTCGGTGTTCAGACATCTGTTTTGCAATGGCTGGTGCATGCTGTCTGCACCACCCTTCCCAGACCACAGCTTCACACTGGTCTGTGATGTCACCAGTTATCAACCCTGTCCCAATAACCTCTTCTTTCAGAATGACGGTTCCTATTAATACAACAAAAACCGAAATTGTCAGCGTGGGCAGGTTGCCATATGGAGGTTGACAGCTGCTCAATCAGATTAAGACAAACACACACAGGCAACCGACGTGAGAGTAAAAAAAAAAGGGGGAGGGACCATAAATCACTTCTGAGGAAAACTCTTATTTGGTTATTGGTATTTTTTCAGGACTTTCGAGATAGTGTGCTAGTTTTAAAGGTCTTGTTTATATGCAGCTGCATTCAGATAGTATTGACATAAAGCAAACCAAAGAACATTGCTTCCCAAGCAATGGTGTCTAAAGAGACTCATCCCTTCCCACTCTGTCCCATACATACCATACCTCTGCCAGATAAGTTAAAAATTAGTAAAAGACCCCTACATCCTACAAAGTAAGATAATGTTTAAAAAAACTGTTCAAAATATGCTTTTAAAGACTTCATAATATGCCAAGGGAAAATTTTACAACCCACTGAAAGATAACACACCATCATCAATAGCCAAGCTCATGAATACATAAATATTTACAACATGTACATATGCATATCAAGGCAAGGCTGCATTTGCAGAAACCCTGAGTCTGTGCAACACATTTATGCGTTGCATATACAATGATAAACAGAGGCATTGAAAAGGAAATTATTTGGAAGCATAGTTGACACATCGAAAGTTTTCTAGTAACTTGCCTGGCCTTTCCACACATGCAAGATTTCTTTTAACACTGGATAAAATGCATTGCTATGATTACCTACTCCTGAACTTGACTGAGTCACATCTCCATCATACAGCAAAACCAGCATATTTCTAGCTGAGCTAGTTAGAGTACATCAGAAAAAAGTAGTGACATGTTCAGAGACGGAATATTCCAGACCTGATTTACAAATGAAATCTCCCGCATCTGTATCTGAAGCTGTGTGGAATGAATAAATGCCCGGGAGCATGCACAAGCATTTTGACTAGGTCAACACTCTTCTAACAACTTAACAGCTATTTAACATTCTCACTGGGGTTTGTGAGGTCTGCATCCACTGCTGAAGTTTAACACAGGAAATTAAACTTTGACATGTTATAACTACTGTCTGTCTTTGAAAACTGTATATAAGGAATGTAAGTTAACACTCCTGACATCTCCTGGAGTCGATACAGCCATACATCTTTTGATCCCAAGCCACCTAAAGCTGCCATGCAGGTTCACATAAATAACAGCTTGCAGAGTGCAAGTGAAAAATCCATTGATAACCCTGAGCAATACAGTAATGTGGTGATATAATTTACAAGGCCCCAGATGATTTGACCCTCTGCTCTTCTGGTAGATGTGCAGCAATAGTCTAAGCTAAGTATCTGCTGGAACTTCTCACTGGAATGTACGTAGGCATGAGATTTGTAATGTCTTTAAAGATGGAGAGAAAGATCAAACTGAAGGGATTTGGGTATTTAGAAAATCCTGCTGAGATACTGTGATAAATTATTAAAACTTCTTGTTAATGAATCTGCTTCCCTTGAACCTCAGATCAGCACATAACATCAAGGCAAAGGTGTGTGTGTGTGTGTGTGTGTGTGTGTGTGTGTGTGTGTGTGTGTATGTCTGGTTGGAGGGGGCTTACATTTAGAAAACATTTTTAGAGGTAAGATCTATGCACAGCAATATCTTCAGAAATCTTCCATCAAGATTTCCCTTACAGCGTACATACTCTCCTGGGATATTTCTGCAGCATCATTTTAGTTTACTGCACCCACAGAACACATAGCTTGACAACTTGTGTTTGCAAAAACAAATGTCATCGGGTGAAGCAGAACCAACTGAACTTTGAAAAAGGGTAGAGTCCAAGTCTCAAAAATCCACAGTACAAAATTTTCAACAGCCAAAGAAAATCCATGACCAAGCTCCAAAGTACAGTAAGCCTTTTCCCTCGTTCAGCAGATACCTCTTTGACTAAAGTTAACACAATTTATCTTTATTAACACGTCAACTGTGATAGAGGCAGCCACAGATTTAGTGCTGGTGGCACTGTTTCTCTGAACATCCCCCTGATCATGTCACAGAATCTGCCAACAACTCAAGAATATTCTGAATCTATTTCATTTTTTAAAGACAGCATCCCGAAGAGAGCAAACATCTCCTTGCACTGAACAGCATGCATCTGGCTCTGGAGTCTCCCCACTGGAAACAGTCATAATGCACCGAAGGCCCTGCATCCCCCAAACTGCAAACACATATTTATATCAGCAACTCTTTCTCCCAGCCACCTACCACACAGATCCCTTTTCCTGAAATAAAAAGCCGATTTCAAATAGATATCTCTTGTCTTAGCTACCCTTGCTCACTCCATTTCGACCTCTAACGTGAAACTTTCACTACTTACCCCCCTTCCAAGGTTTGCCTTTCCAGGGGGTCCTGGTCAGCTTGCAGAGAGTTGGTCCAGAGAAGAAAAGCATCAAAATGAAGAGAAGTTCAAGTCTAGTAATTTTCTCCAGTCTCTCGGATGGTAACATTTCCACAAGTGAATTTTGCAAAATTTCTCACATCCTCTTCCCTCCCGGTTATGAAAATAGCAATAATCATTGAGAAGCTGGGGGGGAGGTGGTGTTTTGCCAGCTTTAGCAGCTGAAGGAGCAGCTCCCTGATGTAGCCCTAAGCCAAGCTACATTTCTCACGGATCCAGCTCCAGCTCCTCAGCCCGCAGTCAGCGCTGTTTCCACTTTAGGAGCTGTAAAATCATTCCTGCTCTCCACTTTGCTTTCAGTGGGAATATTCCTCAGCGTCCTGCGTGCACTTGATTGAAAATGATAAAAACAGGAATGTGGGTCCAGCAGAAAAGAGAAGAGATGTCAGGACTGTGTGAAAACATGAGAAGCATTTGTACTGACAGCTTTCAGGCTGCCTGTGTGATCCTAATAGCCGTGCAGCCAACCAAATTGCTCTTTTAAGAGTAATAAGGCTTCAGTGAAAGCCGGTATCACAGCTACTTGGGTGGGTAGTGCTCGGCTTGAAAATCACCCAGGCACCGCCACAGATAACGACTGCTTCAGTCCAGACTCAGAATAGCAAAAGCTGAACAAAAATATAGTACGCACAGAGGGTAGTTAATCCATTGTGAGGACAGAGGGGGTTTCCAGCGATGTGCTAGCTACAGGCTCAGAACCTAGAATGTACTTTCCTTTTCCATTCCTTCACCTTGTGACTTTACAAAAGCGTGGTAACTGCACTGATTATTCATAAGTGGATCTGAAATATTTATTAGGTGCAACATTAGTACATGATTTTTTTCTTCCCAACAGCAAAACACTAAGGGGGAGTTCTCAGGAGTTGTGCCCCTTTTCCTGTATCGAAGTCCTTTTGACATTCTTGTGTCCTTCTCTGTCTCTAAAGAACACATAATGAGTGTCACAAGCAAACTTTGGGAAATATCAGACAGGATCTACCATGGCTCTGCTAATCAATCATTCAGCGAATCATTTTTGTATTTGTTTATGCATGTCACACGGAAATACAGTCTCTCTAGAGGCATGTTGGTCTTTTGTAACTGTATTTATGATAACATTGGTAGTCCCAGGATGTGTTTATCTTGAAAAAAAAATCAACTCCGCCCCTGGATGAATGGGAACAAAGTCTGCTCAAATAAACAGAACTTGATGTCTACAAACTAAGGTGAATGAAAAGAATCAGAACAGTCTGGCAAATATTTCAAAACTGTCTATATTTTAGTATTGTCCATATTGTCAATTATTCTCTACTCAGTGAGCCACAACACATGAATTATGTATTTATGTACTTTAAAGCAATGGCTTCCGATATTATGGAAAACACCAATTTTACTTTCAAAGTATGATAAATTGCCCTTTTCAAATCATGTGCTTCAGAAAAGTACTTCATCAACAATGAGTTATTCTGCTTTACATGGTCTATATCTTATATTTAAGAGTACAGTTAATAGAAAAGTCCACTTTTCTAGGAAAGGAACAGTGATTTAATAGGACACCCAAAAATATTTTCAGATTGTCTTCATTTGGAAAACATAATCACCTTATATTTTTAACTCCCAATTTTAGAACTTACAAGATATATGAGAATGGATTATATCACGCCCATTTTGCAAAGAGTATCTTAAAATTTAAGTCTGAGCATATTTTAAAAGGCCAGCTTATATTTCACTCAGAATTTGATTTCTCTCAAATCTCTCCTCTCCTTGGTTAGTTGTCATCACCTAACTCCATTAAATGCATTCAATAGACATTTGTAGAATTGATTGAACAACTCCCTCACCACTATCTCCACTATGCTGTGTACTGTTTATCAGCTTCATTCCTCTTATAGGAAGACTATGTATTTATATTTTTAAAAAGTTTGCTTCCCTGTCAATGACCCATGATAGGAACCAAGCCATAGATTTCTCCGGTGGATAAATTGGAATAGAATTTAAAAAAACTGGACAAGTGTTGTTCATGGTGGGAAGGTCGTTTTACCCCAGAAGAGAGGTCAGAAAACCTGCACCTGTGAACATGTGTTGAAGTAGCCAATAGAATGAGGGTTCAAACAACCAAAACTCAAATGTAGACTACAGAGACTTTTCCATAGGAACTTCTGAAGTTCTTGTTAGTGGAACACCTGCCTACCATGAAAGCTAAATATTTGATATGTGCTAATTCATTTACAGTTCAATAAAATCAGAACAGTTATCACCCCCTCCTAGTATATTGTTAGAGAGAAAGCTTAGCTCTCTTATCCAAGCTCATAAAGATGTGGTTTGAACTCAGTACAGTTTGAGCATGTGCTAATCACCATGGTATGTTCTCTGCTGAGCCTGTCTATGTCCAAATTCGTGAGATAACTTTTAGGTTACTATGTCCATTCTCTGAGAAAATACCAAATACAGTAGTGATATTACACTCGATATGTCACATATTGCTGTTTTATATTCACAAAAGCCAGGTAAAGTGAGTTTGCTACTATCCATCTTTACAGATGGTTCTTTGTCCAGTGTGACATGAATGATAAACCCAGGGTCCAGAAGGACTGGGCATGGATTCATATTTCAGTATTCTAATTCTCTTTTCTATCTCTTGCTATAAGGGTTAAGGAAAAGCAGATTGAAGTCATTGTATAGGGGTATGTGTCAGAGAAAAATGAGTAAGCAGGTAATCGTGAATTGAATTGGTTATAGTAGTTAGGAAGTATACAAACAAAAATAAAATATTAGAGACAGTGCCACTGAGAATAAAAAGAAGAACAAATCCCCTTTACCACATGCTCCTGTGATGAAGAAAACAAGGAAACTACAGGCCTTAGTAAGACTTAACTTATCAGAATTTATGATACAACATAATAAATGTAGTGCTGGTCACAGAGTATGTTAAAAAGACTTCAAAGAACAGAACATATCAAAGAAGATATAAGTGCAATAGAAGACAGGTAGAAGACTTGTTTTAGATGATGTACAAGGCAGAGAATCATCTTTGACTATAAATCATCATTAGTATCTATTTTAAGGAGAAGTTAGGTCACACAAAAGAGAGGCCAATCTGAGTTGAGGGAACTGTAGGATCAAGGCCATAGGATGCAAGAAGCTTTCCTCCTTCTAAGATGTGTCAGGGCTATAGTGCACTCGGATTAGTGAAGACATGGGTGACAAGCAAGTGATGAAGAAAAGTTAGGCAAAGCACAGATTAAATTATTAAAATATATAATAAAAATTAAATGTACTAGCTACCAAAGTTCTTACATGGTAGGCTCAATGATGGGTAGTGGGTAAAATGTAGTGGAAAATTCCATTATACTTAATTAGTTTTAATAGCAACAAATGTTATTTGGTGGAGAACTAACTTGGAAGCAGGAAAACTAATTAGAAATGTATAGCAAAATTCTAGGCAAAAAATACTTGAAAACTGACCTGAAACACAATTTATAGGAATACTATGTGAGAACAACTTTCAAGTTTTATTATCAGTGTTCTTTAAAGAAGAATTAAAAAAACTCACAAGAATGAATCAAGCAAAATATGAGGTATTTTAAGACCAGTAAAACAAAACTACTTTTTGGATTTTATTTTGCTAATATCTTAAGTATCCATGATATAGTCCTTGTCATTAAGGCACTTGGATTCTTAAGAAATGAATGCTAGGCTGGGCATGTAGTTTACTGCTAGAGCATGTGCCCAGCATACATGAGGCCCTAGTTTTGATGAGCAGCACTCTAAGGAATTCAACTTATTAGGAAAGAGAGCCAGAGAGAAATTGATGGACTTTTGCTCTAGTCTTTAACCTCTCATCCTAACCACGCTCATAAGTTTGTTTTGTCTATTCATGTAATATCATCTCCAGGTTTAGGACTATTAAACAAGAATTAGGAAACAAAGAATTATGTTAATATTTACTATAATGCCACTATTTGTTTAATTATACTTTGTAAAATGTTTCTGTTTATGTGCAATAAAGATCTTGTCTTTCATTCATTAAAGAGATTATATCCCCATAATCTCTTTTCTCTTCTCTTTTAAATTTCATTTTACATTCCAACCACATTTCTCCCTCCCTCCCCTCATCATGCCCTCTCTCATCTCCCCCTATAATCTCTTTAATGACAAGTAACAGACATATAATTTATGCTACAGTGTCTTTAACAATTGAAAATATAGGAAAACAAAACCTTGGCTAATAAGTTTATAACAGAAAACATTACTATGATTTCTAACTTCATTTGAAATTTTATCTATACCTAGTTAATTTAACTGAATATGTTCCCTTCATTAACTGTGGGTGAAGACTGAACCATTTTCAGTTTGTGCTATGAGTTTCCCTACAAGATAGTGAAATAGTTCCTAGGGTAGGTGAAGTTGTTGCTTTCAATACATGAACGTGTGAACATTGTCTTTATCACCACAATGGAAACTGAGCAGGTGGGTGGGAGATGGTTCTAAGGAAGAAAATGGATAGATCTAGTGACATTGCTAGGTGTCATACAAAGCACTGGGCTATCCTCACAGCAAAGTTAGCTGGTAGAGAAATACTAACAGTATTGAGACTGACACAGGTTGTGGCGTCAACTCTATCTGATCACAAAATGGTGATTCTATGATTCTAGCTATTATTTAACATAAGCACAATAAAACCAAACACTCTCATGATGACTAATTCTCCTTAGATGATCACAGATCATTTACTACCACTGTTCATTCCAACAGCAGCAATGCAAAATACCCAATTTATATTCTACTGCTTCAAATAAAGCCTCCTGCTTCCCCTTCTATAATTTACCCAGAAGAAGCTCTCATCCCCTGAACACCTTACATCAGACCACAGAATTGGTGGATTTGCTGAGCTAGAGTGCTGAAGGAGGTTCAGTGATGCTTGTGTATATCAGTATAAATCTCCATCCAGAAAATTCTCAATATCTGTCTGGGACTTAAAAGACCAAAAAACACCATTAAGCACTATAACTGTGTAACTGTTCAATTGTGTTCCTTTTATTAACTTGACAGTGATTTTCTTCTATCAATCATAGGTGGCTCTGTTGTTAATTTATTTCCTAAAGCACTGTTGACAACCAATTAAATAAATTTTAGTTAAGATTTAATGAGGAAGTGGTAAATAGGTAAAGAATTGTCTTGATAATTCTTGAAAGGCCACGAACTAATCAATTAATTCCTACAACATATGTACATTGCTGCCATTAATTGCTTGACTACTACACTCTAACTCTTCATGATTTAAATTCTGCTCTGTTAGCCAAAAGAGGGATTTACATATTTAAATTGAGTATTAGATTTATTTTTATTCTAAAAGTGTCTGTGTATAGTTTGTGTCTATGGGTGGATATATGCACATGTGTGCACAGGAGGCTGTAACATCTAGAAAACAATCTCAGACACTCACTCTGTGTTGGAGTTAAGTGGGTTATGAGTTGTGGGTGTTAGGAACAAAACTCCAGTCATCAGCATGATCTGTTCCTATGACCTTATGAACCATCTTCCCAGTTCTCATGATGACATTAAAAACCATATATTAATTCTTCATCTTTACTATATCTTCTTTAAAGAGATAGGGAGTTATTGATCACTTCTTGTCTGTCTTTGTCCACTACAAAAAATCATTCAGAAGCTAAATAAAAGGACAATCTTTGATGATTGCAAAAGTTAAAATGACAGTTAATGTCTGAGAGTATT